GCTCTTGGGGAGATGGAAATGTGAATGGCTCTACGGAGATGTGGGTTTTGTTAGATTTATATAATGTATGAAAATGGCGTGCCTGACTTTAATAATTACATTAAAGTGTTAGCTCCTCGGGTGTAGAGACCGATGTGAATGTCCATTGTTCTCTTTACAGCACTGCAGAATGAATCACAGCTATAAACTTGTATAAAAAATAGTGTATATGGATGTAATGAGGATAAAAGTGTAAGCTCCTCAGCAGCAGAGACTGTTGGGAATAGTTCCCTGTACAGCACTACAGAATATGTCAGTATTTAATAATGCAATCAATAGCAGAAATCACCGGCACTCAAATGTATGTGTGATGTATGAACGCTTTTATTCACTCGTCACTTGTATCAACCAGCCAACATTTCAAAGCCATGCAGAGTCCCTTCCTCAGGGCGACATAGTGACCACTATGCCACTTCCATATTGTGGAAGGGACCCTGCGTGGCCCCGAAATGTTGGCTTGATGACACAAGTGACGAGTGAATAAAAGCGTTCATACTTCACGCATACATTTGAGTGCTGGTGATTTCTGCAAATTATTGCATCATGACACGGCGCCATCCGTGTAATCACTTCAAGCACAAATAAATAGGTACGCATGCTGTATGGAAGTGCAGGTGATAGGATAGTATTTAATAATTAACACAAATATTAACAATGGATAAAAGACATTGGGATGCATGCTCCACTGGGGTATCATTATTTTTACCATGTTATATTGAAGTCTATGTGAAATCCATCAAAAAATGTATTGCATCATTTCAATGTCAGATGACACATTCTATATGTATATTTTATGAATTATGAGATGACGGCGTAGTGACATAGCTACAGCCATAGCAGTCTACACAACTGCTAAGGGGCCCAGGAGGAGGAGGGGGCTTCTAGGAAGGTTGTTAAGGCAGCAAACACAGAAAATCATTGTGCATGTAAATATAACACAGATCCAGTACTGTATCATTACCTCTGATCCTTTAAAGTCTCCATAAAAGAGTTGACTATCAGATTAACAGGAGATCATGCTGTGGCTAATCACATATCTTCCTTTCTTCCCCTGATCTGTGAGAAGATGTATTGCCTTCAGAGCTTGTGGTCAACCTGGCCAGCTATCTGATAATAACCCTATATGCCTAACACAGTCTTCCCAAGGCTAAGAAATCAGGTTATATCTCCTAAGCGAAAAACTCATTTAAAACATGTAATTATGCATTAAGAATATAGAGTAATTGTGCATAGGAGCCTTGCTGGCTGGGGAGGTGACAGAGCTTAGAATTTAACCCGAAGCTCTATAATCTTATTTTCTAAAAAAAAAAAAAGGTCAGTTGGTGTTGAAATATGCTGGCGAGCCACTGAGTGTATTTAACGCAGAAAAAGTAATTTAAATATATTCTTAGTATTCTTAGTAGACATTCAATATAAAGTCACTTTCAAATGCCTTTACAAAGTAAATTACCTTGTAAAAGTTGTCGCCTTCACTGGGATCCACATGCAGAGAGCATGGCTATGGGAGGCATTCAAAAGTCCCACCAGGCTGAATGCAGAAAACTACAGGAGGGGTGCAGATACAAGACCAGTCACCCTGCACAAGTAGAGAGAGCAGCAGTGAGTGGTCTTTATTTCATGAAGCTCCTAAGTTTTATACTTTATTATTGCACAGATCTGAAAGAAATACACAAAGCACACCAAAATTCAAGTAAGAATTAACATGTCTCTTGTATTGAGACAATATTTGATTCTCCTGGAATTAAGCTTTAAAGGAGAACTATGGGGTTAGGGCTTTTCCCCATAGTTCTCCTTAGGGTAACGGGAGGACACAAACTAGCGTCCTCCCATCACCCTAAGCTCAGTATACCGTGAGCTAGAGCTTGCGGTATACTGAGACGCCACAGCTGAAGCGGATCCCGAAAATTATGTCTGGATCCGCCCAGCTGCGTGAGTGACAGCTAGCTCTGCCTACCTAGAGGCAGAGCCAGCTGTACCCGCGCCCTCCCCGTCCGTTCCGCCAGTCAGCGTTGGCTGATCGGAGCGGGGAGGGGGGAATCCAGTCCCTCCCATGTCATGGCAGAGAGCCATGACAGGATCAAGAAGTGAGCGAACGCCGGTATGTGTTCGCTCACTTCCCGATCTACTGAGCCGACCTGTGACAGTTTTATTGTCACAGGCCGGCTAGAACTATGAGGATGAGTGAAAAGCACTCACCTCATAGTTCTCCTTTAATGCTATTCCCACACTGCTGCTCTTCCCTAGCAACTCCTATCCACAGCACTGATCCCCAATAGTGTATTGACTATGCTGACATAGCGTTCTAATACTAAGTGATGAAGGAGGCTTGGCTATTTCTTTGATTTAGGATTTACAGGGTGCCACTGTGTGCAGCTAATCTTTCCATACCAATTGTGAGCGACAGTGTTGGACAGGATGGTGAATGTTGGTTTCTACTGCTTTCTGGTGCTCTGTAAAACAGGAAGTTAGTAACAATCTGCAACAGGAACACAGGCAGAAATAAAAAGATGATATTGGTTTTGGCCTACCCTTATTCTTCTAAAGAAGGCCATGTATATTTTCATCTGTGTTTGTTGTTGAGAGTCCCCCTCACTTTCTTGAAGTTGTCAGCAGGAGAGACATTTATGGGGGAATCTCTCTAATGGAGCCTCTGATATCAGTAAAAACCAGACAGACACTTCAAGATCAGTTATAGTATTGTCCCAGTTGACACTGCCAGGTGCAACACAGAGAAGGTATCAAAATTATGTTAAGGTATCCAATGAATTTTACCTATGCCCTTTCATAGAGATTATTTATATACTGAAACAGTATAACAGACCTTTGTCACCAGAACAGAACATTATGACATACGCAGAATGGGGGGTGAGGCAAAATCTTTTAATGAGGACACAGACAGCAATAAAGGAACTGAAAGGGACTGTAATCTTTCCATACGCTATACAAAACTAAAAAGAAAGGTTTGGGCTATAGATATATGTACAGTATTACTAACCTTGTATACTGTGACCTTACTCTAAGACCCCAGTACAGTAAAATGAATCAGTGTGTGTCCATTTGTGACATGTATTCCCAGATTACCTTTTCTACCTCTGCTGAGTCCCCAGTTACAGCAGTGCGTGTCCAACAATTTCAGAGCCTGTATCCTGAATTCCAGAGATTGTATCAGTTCTGGCAGGCAGGCCTGACTTTCTTCTGATGACATCACCCGAAATTGGACAGGTTCCATCTCCAGCAAGCAAGCTGTTGCAGGGGCTTAGATATTACACAAGTGAGGTCAATTTGGAGGTCTAGTGGGGGTCTTAAATAAGCAAATGGAAGCCCCAATTAATCTTTAGGCCCAAAACACGTCTGCATTGTGGTATATAAAACATGGTCAATGGACTCAAAGACCACACAGATCCTTGTGCAACTACACATGAAATATGCCTACCCCTGACAAAAAGTCAGTATTCTCTAAGAACACTGCTATCTGCAAAAAAACCTAGCTCCCTTACAAGCAGGTCAATCCAGTATTAACCTACAATCTTGAATACATTTTGCAGCTTAACCAAGCCACTTCTTCAGTTTTAATGAGTGTCAGGAACAAACCCCAGCATTGCTTCTGAAAGCCCCCACCCCTGTTTAGGAATGTATCTTTTACATATAATATCATTTTAATATCTCTACCCTGGCCATTTGGCTACAGTTCACACCTTCAGCCATGTAAATTGATGGATTAACATATACGCAGACTTCCTCCACCGAGGGATGGGATTATTTAAATAAAATTGCACTCTAATCAGTTTTGAACGATCAATATCTGCTTTGACACATTCCATGGTGATTTAATTAGGTTGACTGTGTTAAATGTGTGGCTACAAATACTGGGGTATATTCCTGCCAAGATTGGATGTGGGGCAGAAAGGTGAGGTCTGAGTCAAGGATGACACCTAGCACTTTGGCATGGAGGGAGGGATGGATAGTTGTGTTAACAATCTCAAGGGAAAAGTTGGGGGAAGGTGCACGGGCAGGAGGAAATATCAAGAGCTCAGTTTTTGAAAGATTGAGTTATAAGAAGTGCTGTGACATTCAGACAGATATGTTAGTTAGTAGATTAGTGACACGCAAGGACACTGAGGGGGCGAGTTGTGGAGTAGAAAGATATATTTGAGTGTCATTGGCTTAGAGATGGTATTGGAAGCCATGTGAGGTTATTAACCGACCAAGGGAGGAGGTGTAGATAGAAAAAAGAAGGGGTCCAAGACAGAGCATATATAGAAATAGAAAGAGGTGAAAGGGAGGAGTTAGATTAGTAGGTGACACTAAAGGAGCGCTTAGATAGGTAGGAGGAGAACCATGAGAGAGTCTTGTAGGCCAAGCAAGTGGAGTTTTTTGAGGAGGAGCGGGTGGTCAACAGTGTCAAAAGCAACAGAAAGTTCTAATAGCAAGAGTAAGGAGTAGTGGCTATTGTTTTTAGCAGTTAGTAAGTCATTAGTGAGTTGTATACACAAATGGTATTATTTATTTAAGGCACATTGGGCTTACTTTCATACATATGTTTGGTAGAATCAGAACATTGCAACATGGAGATTTTAATGATCTCCTGATAAATACTGAGCCCGACATTGTGTGAGTGTAACACTACTTTTGGAACATGTCTCACACATTGGAAGCCATTGTACTGGACCATTCACTTCAATCTTTGTTCTGCTATTCCTTACACATGATAATCATGTACAAATCATCCACAGTCAATTTGTTTTTTGCAACAAATATATATTATTGAAGATTTCAGATGTTTAGGTTATGTTATCCATGTGTATTTTGTGTTGTACAAAGTATATTTTATTTGCATATCTTTCTACTTCACTATTGTAATTTTTTTGTTGGCACATGTCATTAAATGTGGAAATTGCCCAGATGCTACTGAAGTATATGTGGAACTTAATTTTCTTTCATGATTGCTGGATTCAAACCAGGTCCACTTACTACGGAATGCTGGAGACGAGGTCACCATTACAGTTTACTATTTCAAGGAAGCGCCTTCATTTCTTAAACTCCCACTAGGTATGTTTGTATTAATAAAATGCATTGTATTTTAACTTTTGGGCAAAACATAATTACAGTAATAACATATACATACATGCTCAATAAAATCAAACAAATGGGGTTTCATATGAGGCATCAAAGCATTGCTACATACATTTTTATGTTTAAACATGATTTATTCCATAGACAAAAAGTTTGAAATACGTACATATTAGTGCATAGTATTCACACTAATCTACATACAGATATAACACAGTATTTCATCTGCCTAATAGCAAACCCTGGGGATTCATAATCTGCCATATGTCTAATCATTATAAAAAAATCCAGTCACATATACTTGCTGTAATTTTAGTATATAAGAGATAATCTCGTATTCCAGGACTTGTAGTTGCAAATGCTTCCCAACGCATTTTGCTTACACAAGCTTGGTCAGGGGAATTTTAATATGGCAACCTTAGTAGATTTCAAAGAGATGTCTGTCAACAAGCGAGGATCAGAAGCAGCTGGGGACTACTGACTGAAAAAAAGCCATGCATGGGTTAAATGGTCCTACCCCGGACCATAGAAGGACAGGTATTCAGGAGTCGGGAACAGCACCTAGGTGATCTTTTACTGTTATCATGTGGGTAAATGCATATGTTCATCAACCTTATATGAATTGTATTGAGAAAAACTCCCCTCTTTTTCTTCATAATGTTATATGTGGGACCTTCAGAATCGGTCTCAGCTGCCTCACACAACTGCTCTGGGCTCGTGTAGATTATCTCTTGTATCTCTAGATTTTCTCTTATATACTAAAATTACAGCAAGTATATGTGACTGGAATTTTTTGAAAATGATTAGACATATGGCATATTATGAAGAGTCAGGGGCTGTCGTTTGCTTTAGGCAGCTGAAATACTGTGTTATGCCTGTATGTAGATTAGTGCGAATACTATGCACTAATATGTATGTATTTTAATCTTTTTTTCTATGGAATAAATCATGTTTTAAATATAAAAATGTATGTAGCCATGCTTAGATGCCTCATATGAAACCCCATATGTTTGATTTTATTGATTATAGATATCTATAGGGGGAAGAGGCAGTGATTGGATCGAGTGCTTTTATATTTCTACTTGGGGGTATGATCAGTTGAGGATTCATATACATACATGCAACAGTACATTTAGTTATCTTTTCTTGACTGTTTCTCTATTATATAGTGGAAAATTATAATGGTTTGGGAGTCAATTTAATTTAACTTTAATTATATCTTCTAATTTTATTATATTTTATTTTTATGAAGAGTCAGGGGCTGTCGTTTGCTTTAGGCAGCTGAAATACTGTGTTATGCCTGTATGTAGATTAGTGCGAATACTATGCACTAATATGTATGTATTTTAATCTTTTTTTCTATGGAATAAATCATGTTTTAAATATAAAAATGTATGTAGCCATGCTTAGATGCCTCATATGAAACCCCATATGTTTGATTTTATTGATTATAGATATCTATAGGGGGAAGAGGCAGTGATTGGATCGAGTGCTTTTATATTTCTACTTGGGGGTATGATCAGTTGAGGATTCATATACATACATGCAACAGTACATTTAGTTATCTTTTCTTGACTGTTTCTCTATTATATAGTGGAAAATTATAATGGTTTGGGAGTCAATTTAATTTAACTTTAATTATATCTTCTAATTTTATTATATTTTATTTAATGATGTAAAGAGGAAATTCCTTTTTTTTATTATCATTATTTCATCTGCACATGATTGGTTATTTAAAGAAGACACAGCTAGAAGGGAGGTTCTCTAGATCAATTAAATACACTTTTTATAGTTAATTGTAATGATGATATAATATTAATGATATTATAATTTAATTATGGTATCACAAAAAACATTTTCTTTCAAACTCTGTTTCTTTTTGAAACAACATACACAGGCATCTGAGCAAATGGGAAGAAAGTGGTGGTGGTGGGTGGGGTGATTTATCACATGAACTCAATCAGTTGTGTATGTAAGTTTTAGCTTGCACTATTGGGCTCTTTAAACAAACAGGTAAGACTAGTCTGGCCAACATTAAAATAGGAGCCGAGGGCTCCACCTGTAGAATAGATAAGGTAAAAAACACAATTTTTGTATGCAATCTCTCATATTTACTTGACTCAAAATAAAAAAAAGGTTTTTTTTCTTTAATGTATTTTTTAGTCCTGACCATAATACATAGAAAATTAAATAAATATTTGCAAAACCAAAATGTATTCCTACCGATGTTGCAACCTTTCTTTATTTATACCTCAAAAGTAATTTTCATTGCTATTTCTGGAGCAATTTCCCATCACTTCCTGTTTCTCTGACCCTCTTGCACTAGGACAGGAAGTAAGAGTATATTTTCCCAAAGTGAACACACGCAGCACAAACAAGACAGATGCTCAAACCCAATCATGTGCAAGGAAAGTAAAAAAAACAAACTGTATTTTTGCCTGCACATGATTGGATGCTAGAAGTCAGCAAAGCTTCACTACATTCACTAAGCTAAATGAAAATTCCCTTGCAAAGTGAACATCCTATTTGCCTTTAGTAAATCAATCCCATAAACTCAGACATAAACATAGGGGTCTATTCACTAAGCTGCCGTAGTGAATAGCCGAATGCCGCCGAGCAGAATAGAAAAATTGTTTAAAAAAATTGTTAAAAAGGTAGAATAAAAGCAGAATAAAAAAAAACGCCATAGGAATGCATAGCTAGATTCCTATTGGCTATTTCACTTTGCAATAGCCAATAGCCAATAGCAAACTAGCTACTTCACCTGTACATTCACTAAGCTAAATGAAAATTCCCTTGCAAAGTGAACATCCTATTTGCCTTTAGTAAATCAATCCCATAAACTCAGACATAAACATAGGGGTCTATTCACTAAGCTGCCGTAGTGAATAGCCGAATGCCGCCGAGCAGAATAGAAAAATTGTTTAAAAAAATTGTTAAAAAGGTAGAAAGCAAAATGGAAAATGATTGGGCGGAGCTAGCAATGACAGCTAGCTCAACACAACGGTTTTCTATTGGCCGGGCGGTTCTGCAGCCGTCAGAATAAAAAAAAACGCCATAGGAATGCATAGCTAGATTCCTATTGGCTATTTCACTTTGCAATAGCCAATAGCAAACTAGCTACTTCACCTGCCCTCTGCTGCTGTCAATCACTGAAAGGGGACCTGATGGAGAACTTCAGGTCCCCTCTGCTGATTGACAGCAGCAGTGGGCGGGTGCAATAGCTAGTTTGATATTGGCTATTGCAAATTGAAATAGTTAATAGGAATGTAGCTACGCATTCCTATGCTGGTTTTTTTATCTTTTTTATTCTGACGTCAGTCAGCGGCTCCGATGTCAGAAGAAAAAAAAAAGACAACAGAGCAGGAAAGATTTACTCTGCTCGATTTAGCAGAGTAAAACTTTCCCAAAGAAAGTGTTTCTCTCCCCGTTGGCCGGGAGCCGCTATCTAATAGCGGGAGACTCCCGGAGCATCCGGGAGAGTTGGGCTGTCTGGAGATCAGCGTCCCTGGTTACCTGGTAACCAGGGGCGCTGATCTTTCTATGCAAGTGGCCGGAGCCAGCCGTGAAATGACGTCTGGCTCCGCCCAGCTGTCAGTAGCAGGCTGTAGGCTTTCACCTCGGCTCAGTCGAGCCGAAGCATATGCCTTCAGCTCGACTGAGCCTCTCGGCCATCTTTGGGAGCTGTACGGGCTATAGAGAATAGCCTGTACAGCAGCCCTTCGGTTCTACTGAACCCAAGGGGTCCTGGGGCTGAAGCTAGCCAAAGGATCAGCTGAAGCTACAGCTAGATCCTTCGGCAGCTTAGTGAATAGACCCCATAGTTTATTTGCACATGGCATTGTTTACTGTTATGTACATCAGATGATGGTATGGAGAGGTAGAAGATAAAGTTCTTGCCCTGCCTCTTCTTCTCCCAGCTACTTTATGCAGCTCTAAAAATGCATGCTTGCATGGTTTCCAAAGTGTCCACAGTGTCAGAAATGTTAAATATTGCCATATGGATTTGCCTAAGGGCTTGTCTACATTGGCAAATGCCACATGCTTTCAAGTGTATTCCACTTCCATTTAAGATGAGTTTGGGACAAGGAGTTCTGTCCTTCATATGTGCTTCTGGCCTGCAGTTGATCTCCTTCTGACCTGCATTTGACCTCCTAAGATGCATCAAGCTGCTGTTGCATTCTTATTGAATTGTATGGGGAGAAAAGCTGACGTGAACAAAAGCCTGTGTATACATGTCTACAAATAGATATGTTGCCATATTCTGAACTGCTGCTGCCATTTCAGTGCTGCCTGTGGTAGCACAAAAAAATAAAAACGCTCCTTTCTAGGTCTCCTTTTTGTTTTACTAGCTCCTCAGTACTAACTGTATCTATACTTTGAACTGACAACCCCTTTTTGTTTTTAGCTTTAGTTCTTTAACATTACCACATAATACTAAAGCTCACCTCTCCCAAGACTTCAAATAAGATAGCAAAGTGTAAACACATTTCAGTCCTGCTTTTTAATTAAATATATTTTTTATCATTTTCTTTTTCTGTTCTGTTTTAGGCTCTCCAGATCCACCGAGTGACCACAGCAGTGGCACTTCATCTCCTCTCTTTGATAGCGGTTTACATTTAAATGGAAATTCTTCAAACACGGTATGAAAAAAATCAATTCTAAAATAATTTATGAAGTCAGGATGCAATCTACTATTTGATGTATATATTCAAGGACTAATACTTCATAATTAGAAAGGGAAAAAAGGAAGCAACTTGTATACTGATCTTTTTCTGCTTGCTTATGAACACATGCAGGTTGGCTTGAATGTAGGACTATTCTATACTAAATTCTAAATTTAAACATGAATTCACAATGAAAGCTGTTCAAAAATGTACAGCCCAGAGTTCTTTGACTTGCATAGAAAAGCCAAAGGCTTTGTGAAGTTTGGATCCCATTCTGCAATTAGTTGTGTTGTTTTGGTTGTTAGTTAATAAGTATAAGGGGAATGATCTTGTCAAATTGATTTGGCCATCAGCAAAATTTGCTCAGGGTGGAAACTGTCAAATTCACTGATTGAACATAGACAAGATTTGCTTGAGAAAAAAAAATATTTTTAAAATGTATTTAGTTTTTTTTGAGGGGATGAATTCAGTATTATGAAAATGAAAATGAAATGTACGGTGTAAAAGCAGATGACACAAACTCAAGGCTGTGTAAATAAAGCCTATCTAAACCCAAAAACAAAAAGGTAATATATTGCAGCTTATTGATTCTTGGCTGTATTAGTTTTATTTTTTTAGGAATTTTTCCTTTATTTTCACCTAGTGATCCCACCATCAAGTCTGTTAATTTTCAGCTTTCTTTACCAGGCCAAGCTGTCCAGCACAAATGGCAGATATATGGTTGAAACAAACCATGTTATACTGACAGGGGTACTTACAATGGTCAGCTTTTATTCAATTATGTAAAACCTTTATCCTTAAAGAAAAGAAAATCTGCTGCGGTAACTTCTTAAAAAATGCTTCCTTAGGGTGTACTCTAGTGTTCCTGGTATGCTTCTAGAAAAAAAATATTATTTAAAAAAATGCTATTTTGCCTATCATATTCAAATGCAATATAAAAGTTAGGTGCAATTGTGAGATTCTAAATGGCAGTTTTCTGGGTCTGATAAAAATGAAGAAAACTAGAAAACGAATGTTATTATTATTATTAGTTTTTATAGGGCTGATATCCAAACAATATTAGGATATCAGCTCTATACATTGCTTTTCATGTTTTCCATGAGAGCGAAATAATATAACTAACTGGCTGTCATGGACAACAACCCCAGAGATCCCTTATTCATTTTTGATGATAATGAAAGAATATCACTGACTGGCTATTTTGGGCAACAGCTCCATTTTTACTTTCCATTCTTTAGTTTTCATTAATCAGTCCTGAGGCACATGTGTATTAATGCATTGCCTATTTTAAATCAACAAAAAACTTTTAAACTACATATCAGGGAATGATTTAGAGGACGCTGTCAGTGTCCTTGATGTGAAAAGAATTATTCATGCAATTATTATATTTAGTATATATTGCATATGCATTTGATGTGAGTAATTGTAGTACACTTCAGTTGTGTGCGCTGTCAAATCATGGCGCTGTCCTTGAGTTGACATGTAAGTGCCAAAGCCTTTGTTAATCACATACTGCACCTCACTTCAGCAACTTAATGATAAAAAAATGACTTTTTTCTTTAATTAATTGTGATTTGCTTAAATAATTAAAACTCTGTTATTATAGGCAGTGAAAATGTCTGAATTAATATTCATTAGCGAATAAGACAGTTGAATGACCTTTTTTTTCCTACAGTTACTTTCTCTCAACTTTTTGACCAGTCTAAAACCTAAGATCGTACAAACTCCTTAACAGTAATGGAAAACGAATTGTTCACTTGGTCATAATAGAGCGGGTATGGAAGCCTCAGCTCTGGCCTTTGGAACCGCAGTCATACTTCCTTCCTTCCTTTTGAAATCTGTTTCTAATGGACATACACAACAATTCCTTCATGCATTGGAGTTCTGGGTAGACTGTAGTGGGCAAACTGTTTGCTTCCAAACACAGTGGTAGAACTACCCCAAAGCCCTCTATTAACCTCTGTACAATGATGTGAAGGGGTCCTGGGGCCGAAGCCAGCCGAAGGATCGGCCGAAGCTACGGCCAGATCCTTCGGCAGCTTTGTGAATAGACCCCTTAGTGTTCTTATCTTGCAGCATCTAGGTGCTGATCCATCTAGTCATGGGAATATTGTGAAAACAGCAATCACCCAGGGTATGGCTGGGCATAAGATTTATAAATAAGCCCCTTTTTTGTCATGGCAGCTGGACGATTGCATGTTCCATCTTGTATACAGGGAAAGGAAAGTGCATCCAGGTAATACAATTCTTTAAAACAGAACTCCAGGAAAAAAATATTAACTCTTGCAGTGGGCCCCGCACTGCAAGGGTTAAGTGATAATTGTTTGTCTAGGTTAAAAAATAACAAAGTTATACTCAACTGAAATTCCAAACCAGCCAGCTGTCACAACATTCCCTCCATCCTCTCTCCTCCTATGCTGTAGCATTTTAATGTTCCCCAACGTCCTCACATCTATACACTCTGCAGCGAAAGGGGGAAGAGGCTGGAAGGACCAGTCTAAGAATAAGCCGGCTCCACAGTTCAGGTGAGTATAACTGTTTTTTTTAATAACTTAGACAAAAACGAGCAGTTAACCCTTGCAATGTGCGGGTAGCCCCACTGCAAGGGTTAATTTAAAAAATACCTGGAGTTCTTTCTTAAATGGATCATATGCAGATTTGCGGATTGCATAGCACAATCCATCCTCATAAAGGTAAATATCCTCTGAATGCAGTTCACTGCTGATAAAAAGCGTCAATCTGAGCGAGGCTGAAATATAACTGTGTACGTTGTTTTTTGTGATCTTTCCAAAACAGAAATAATCTCCATTAAATGCGTTGCATTAAGGCTTCATTGGCCTCTTACATTTTAAGTATTCACGCTTGAATACTTAACTTTATGTAACCATTCTGTCATAATAAACCTGATTACAAAAAAAAAATGTTCTGCAAACACTTGCCCTCAGAAGGAGGCTCCATCCAACACAAACATCCTGAGTACTCAACATGCCAGGACACTTAATGAGTACATGTGTGTACTCTGGAATTCTGCTTGAAAGTTTGAAAACAGAAACTTGAAGAAAATGACATTCAGGGGTCTGTTTATTAATGTTTTCACCCAAAATTCACCCATATATATATAATATTCCCCATGGCCCCTTTGTGTGTTGTAAAGTAGCCACCTCTTCAAGCTTACTCCCATGTTGTACTACAATCTCACATCTAGATTACTAATTTGTAGTCAGATTGTATTCCATCATGGGAGTGAGCATAGAGCAGTGGCTACTTTATAACACACACAGGGGCCATGGGGAACCAAAGTAGCCACTCTCCAGAAGGGAGGCAGTGTCGGCTCCAATTCAGAGATGATTTGAGGATCTACAGCTGAGTGATACACAAATAAGATACATTTTTGTTAATAGTTAGGATACTTGAATGTGTTTTTAAGATTTAACTCCTGATTTTAGTTTCACTTTAATTTTTGTTTGCCTTGTTATAATTGTGCCCTCCAACACCACTCTGAATTATAGATCCTCAGCCACAAGTCACAACTATAAACTAAAATGTACCTAATTATTCCATTCTTTATCTAATGTAGATGTAAATCAAAATACTAAACTCATATATAATGTTTAACATGTTAATGTAGTTTCAAAAGCCGTTTTTCTTTGAATCTGCAGCTTTCATTAAAATAATATCGGGTGATCCTGTCATGAAAGTCTTTTGTTCAGGCATTTTCAGTGGTAGGGTGACAGCGCTCTGTGCCTATCTCCCAAATATTCTTCCACCATTGTCACCATCAGGTACCCTCCCTGAGAAATGATATTGCTTTCATCTTAGACCTCTCACATAGCTGAAAGATTCACTACCTTCTTCATAGGTTTTATAATTTATGGCATTTCATTTACATCTAATATCTTTATGTGTTCTACTTTCCTTACACAACAACTTTATGCATCTCTTGTGTCCAGTAGGAAATATTCATATTGTTTGTGTTGCTATAGAGGAACTAAGTATGATCATGAGGGGTGGTTCTGAGGTGCAGACACATACAGAAGAATACTCAGGAAAATGCAGCCTTGTAAAGAGGAACTGTCATCGATCTACATGTAATCTTACTTAAAATGTACTCAAGACAAAAATATGTTTATTAGTTTTGGAGCAGTGAAGTGGAACTTGTCAGGGTGTTGCCTGGGTCTTCCTTGGGAAGACTTCCACTCATTGCTTGCTCTCATGACAACCTACAGAATGGTATATTTGTTATTAAAGCTCACCTCCCAGATAAGTGAATAGTGTCTAAATACAAGAGCCACGTGTATCCTAACTTGAATCTTGCTGTGCTTTGTACTGTATAATTCTTCCAAATCTGTGCAGCAGTCCAGTGTGAATCATTTCCTCTGTGCAGGAGCTCCATGTAATTAAGACCAGTCACTGCTGCTTTCTCCTTGTGCAGGGTGGCTGGTCTTGTCCCCGCCCCTCCTGTAGTTATCAGCAGGCTGTCTGTAACGGGCAGGGCCTGCCAGATCCCTCCCACAGTTCTGGCCTTTGCACAGGCTATGTACAGCACAGAGATGGTATCACCGCTGCATTTATGTAGTCATATCTGGGAATGCAAAGTGTTTGGTGCACACATGGTGGATTTATATTCTCTGTGCCTGGAGTTCAACTTTATTGCAAATGAAAGTAATGTCAAACAATTCAAAACTGCATGACTTAACCATCTTCAGTTTAGAATGAATGTGCTTATTCAATCTCAGTTAGTACATTGTGTCACATCTATGTTAGAATTTGCTATCATTATGCATTAAGCAGGACTCCACCCAAATTATTTTTTTCTTAAAGAGTAATTCCATTTTTGTTGAGAAAAAATGAGTCCTCTCTGATTGATCTGTGTACTGCAAGGATTTAAAAAAAACCTTGCTGCAGTTTCCTACCTATTTCTGTCCTGAAGAAAAAGCTGTTTGTTGCAGCGTGTCCTTTCCAAACTGATTCCTGAATGGGATGGTCTGGGTTCATTATAATCAGCTGGCGTACTTCCTGTGCTTTAATGAGGAAAGGTGCAGTGTCTGCATTCCATTAGAGTAATTAACCCTTAGGCCTTGTTCACACCAAATGCAGACCAGATCCCGTCAGGTTTCTGCACACACAGTGTAATGGGTTGTGCCGCGTTTTAGACGCGTTTTGGATGCGTTTTTTATGCGTTTAGGGCCGGTTTTGGTTAAAAAAATAAATGTAAGTTTAACATGGACTTTCAGGCACTTGCATGCGTTTTTTATGCGTTTTTGCGTTTTAGATGCGTTTTTGATGCGTTCCAGACCAGATCCAGAGCAGGTAAAATAGGGCTTGCCACATTTTTTTCATCCGGTCTGTATCTGGTCTGGATCCGCACGCTGCGATGTGAACTGGAGGTCAAAATACCATAGGAATACATTGGACGCAGTTTTGATCCGGTCTGCACCTGCTCTGGTCCGGATCTGCTCCGCGCTTGGTGTGAACAAGCCCTAAGGGAGTATCTCACCAAAAATGACATTTCTATTGTAAGGGATGGCAAAAATTATACTTGTATCTTAGTGCAGCCTTCTGGGAAAATCAGTCAGTCAATCACAAAAGCAGGAAGTGACATTTCTGGGGGCGTTCCGTACACCAACTGTGTACAGAATGCCTCCAGGTCGCCATATTACAGGTACTACACTTTAAATAGAAAGGTAATTTTAATAAGGATAAATTACAAAATGGCTGGTGCAACAATTATATATGCTTCATACATTTTTCAGGAGTTTTCATTTTTTATATTTTTAAAGAGTTACCCTTTAAGTTTCTGAGAACATAGGAAGGTTTTTCTCATATTTATATCAGGGAAGCCACTAGGAGAGATGTTGGTATTGGTGATCCCATAATAGATCACTTTATACTTTATAATAATATTTTGGGGAAAGTAACCAGCTGGGAGCCAAGTCCTGGATCTGTCAGCAGGAGTAAGGGGAGATTTCCACACCACAGAGCAATAAAAACTACTTAGGGAATTAATCCCTACCCTGCGCCATCAAAAGAAGTGTATCTAATGCAATTTTTTTTCTTTTAATTTAAAGTGAGGGGTTAGAAGTGTACCCCTGACTAAAAGACTATAGCCTGGCCACGTTCTACTTTATGCTGAATTACCAGGATTCTAGTTTTTATTTTTTTAACCTAGACATAATGTTTCCCACTTACTATTTAATCTGTCTTATCGGAGTAAGAATTTGTTAAACATTATTATGTTAGTTTCCACATACATTCTTGCAATGCATTGACAATTTAAACTTGAGCTTTGCCTTTTCATAGATTGGTGGATGTTGAAGAGATGTATTATTTGTGTTTTTTTTTCTCATTTCATAGGCCCCCTCTTCTCCATCCTCTCCAACAATTAAAGAATCTAAATATGAAAAAAGATGGATTGACGAGCTTTCAATTCCATTACTGATGGCTCGAATTTCACGGTTCAAGGCTTCATGTGTGAAGTTAAGGTTTGCATTATTCTATGTACAAGTAATCAGTTATTTATTTGATATATTTACTATTTAAAGGGAAATTAGAGTGCATTTTCAGTGAGCACATATTTGTGTTATTATGATAATATTTACCTCAAAGTCTTTTAAGTGACTTTCCAATGTTTTACATGTTTGCTAAACCATGCTTTGATGATTGTATTACATGTAACTATTTCCCTATAGTGACTATGTGTATTTAAAGTGACACTAAACTCAGGAGTTAAAGGAGAACTATTGGGTTAGTGTTTTTCCCCATAGTTCTCCTAAGGCTCACGGGAGGACATATACTAGAGCTCAGTATATCACGAGCGACAGCTCGCTGTATACTGAGACTGCCGCAACCGGGATGGGTCCAGAGGCACAGCTAGCTGTACCCGCCCCCTCCCCCGTTCGTTCCACCAGTCAGCTCTGGAGGATCGGAGCGGGGAGGGGGAATCCCTGCAGGGAGCCGTGAGTGACAGTCACGGCTCTCTGCAGGGAGATGATCGAGAAGTGAGCGAGCGACGGTATGTGTTCGCTCACTTCCCGATCTATTGAGCCGACATGTGACAGTTTCATTGTCACAGGTCGGCTCGAACTAGGAGATTGAGTGAAAATCACTCACCTCATAGTTCTCCTTTAAATGAAAAAAAAATTCAGGTACCTTACCTTAGGAATTATCTGTTTTGTTCACTTGTGAAAAAGTGGCCAACCCACACAGATCTTTTTGTCTGGCTGTAAACTAATTAAACCCTCTGGAGGTGCCTGCAAATACCTGCAGCAGATTTGAGTGCCCCCAACTGCTGAGCTGTTTTAATTGGGGAAAACCCTCCCACTTCCTGATTCTGTTCTGACCATCACACTTTCCTTTTGGCTCATTACTATGATGGGCAAAGTCACTGGCCCATAGGAATGTGAGGGAGTTGGGGGGATATTGGATCCTACTAGGAAGGACCCAAAAGTAGTGCTTGCTATTGTTAAAGTAACAAAGTCACTCTAAAGGGACACTAAACTCAGCAGTTAAATCTAGTTAAAACTGCATTCAAGTACCCTATTAACATAAATGTATCTTATTTGTGTATCACTCGCCTGTAGATCCTCAAATCATCTCTGAATTGGTGCTGACACTGTCCTTCCTTCTGGAGGGTGGCTAATTTTGTTCCACGTGGTCCCTGAGTGTTTTGTAAAGTAGTCACCGGTCCAAGTTCACTCCTGTGATGGACTACATAGTTACATAGTTACATAGTATTTGAGGTTGAAAAAAGACATTAGTCCATCAAGCCCAACCTATTAGGATCTCATTCTAGGAGTACCTGTACCCCTGTATATTACGGTCCCTTAAGAAATCGTCCAAACGTTTCTTGAACAATTCCACACTTTTTGCTGAAATCACTGCCTGCGGCAGTGAGTTCCAGACCCTACCCGCTCTCACTGTAAAGAACCCCCTTCGCCACGTGTGCTGGAATTTTTTTTCCACCAATTTTAGGTTATGGCCTCTAGTTTTTGTAATGGAGTTAATTTACCAATTCATATTGAGATTGTAGTCTATCACAGGAGCAAGCTTGGAGTGGTGGCTACTTCACAACACACACAGGGACCATGGGCAACAAAAGTAGCCACCCTCCAGAAGGAAGGACAGTGTCAGCACCAATTCAGAGATGATTTGATGATCTACAGACGACTGATCCACACATAAGATACATATTTGTTAATATTTAAAGCACTTGAATGCATTTTTAAGGTTTAACTCCTGAGTTTAACATCACTTTGAAGAGCACCTGAACTCTGGAAGCTGAGCTCAAAAGAGGGCAGTTACAGGGCAAAAGAGTAGTCACTAGTATGGCTTGTGGACTTCTTGCAGCTAATCTCTTCCCCGTGATTGATTTACCATGCTTTGTTCTGCATGGTGTCTATGTATGTAGGCAACCATCTTGGTATAGACAGGGCTTTGCTTCAGAACCTCCAAATCTCACTCCAAATCTCCTGAGACTAGCAGTCAGAGGCAACAGTGCCTTAGATCTCACACTTCAGATCTACAGCTATGGAACTGTAGACACCCTCACATACCAGGAAGTGCACTGCTGTTTTCTATATTATTTATTTGACAAAAGGTGCATTTTTCAGTCAACTACTTAGACACAATTAACACATTTAAATGTTCATTGTGAACAACAAATCTTCCCTGTTGAGTTCAGGTCCACTTTATTTTGGCCACTTAAAGGAAACCTGCAGTGAGGGAAATACAGAGGCCTTAACGGCTTGATGGATACTCATAAACTAGTTTAATACTTTTTTTATTGTATAACTATATTTTATCAGAGCAGCTGGAGATTATATTATATAAACCTGACACAGCCATCTATATAAAAACATAATTAAAAACATATTAATGAACATATAAATCAGTAATACAGATGAAACTCGAATAATTAGAATATCGTGCAAAGTTCATTTATTTCACTAATGCAACTTAAAAGGTGAAACTAATATATGAGATAGACTCATTACATGCAAAGCAAGATAGTTTAAGCCGTGATTTGTCATAATTGTGATGATTATGGCTTACAGCTCATGAAAACCCCAAGAACCCCAAATCCACAACCTCAAAAAAGTAGATTATTACATGCAATCAATAAAACAAGGATTGTACATAGAACAATATCGGACCTCTGAAAAGTACAAGCATGCATATGTACTCAGTACTTGGTTTGGGCCCCTTTTGCAGCACTTACTGCAACTACTTTTGCACGATATTCTAATTATTTGAGTTTCACCTGTATAACATTTTGTAATACATTGCAGAATTACATTGATGTTTTTGGTCTTATGTATGAAAAGTGTGCTAAGAAGAACATTTCTTGTTGCTCTGGCAACCAGTCAGAATCACTGTTTCATTTTCAAACCATAGATTGCAGAAATGACAGTTGGAAGCTGGTTGTTATGGGCAAAAAGAAATTATGTTAGCATGCTTTCACACATAAACTCCTTAGGTGTTAGTAACTGCGTGAATGTAACATTCTGTTGTATTAATGATGGTGTCTATCAAGCTACTGTGCCATTTGTGTTTGTGTTGCCTCCAAGTCAATGTCACAGTGCAGCTGCATACTTGTAGAAGTATTTGCAGACCTCTTACCCTTGATTATACAAGTATGCAGGGCTATGATGTTGCTTGTTCTCCTCCAGGCTTGTTCTCTGATCCTAACCTGCTTTTGTACCAGTCTGGCAACTTTAGGCATCGGCCGACCTCTCCCGTTGATTATCATGTAGCTTCTCAGTCTGGTCAGCTTTTGGCCAATCCTTTGGTTCTTTCATCTTGTTCAGTTTATTTAAACTCAGTGCAGCTCAAGGCTAGCTGGCAATGCTTTCCCAAGCTCGTTGCTGAGCCCTTGGTCACTGTTGAAGCTGCCACTCTTGTTGTCCCCGAGTTCGCAGTTGTGCCTTTGTTTCTGACCTAATTTCCATGGTTTGATCTCTCGTGTACTGACTGAGCTTTGGTCTCCCGATCTCTAATGTCTACTGCATAGTGGCAATGTTTCCTAGGTAGCAATAAATGTTAACCAGATATCATTCCTTGGAGTTACTTTTTGAAGAGATCCTAACAAGATTCCATAGGAAACATGTTAGCATTACCAAATCTCAGTTTTATTTTTCAGAAAAAAGTACTCTTTTTTGCGTTTAACATCTTTATCTAATGTGACCTAAAGTCTGAGGCAAAAGATCACATGGTCTCTCGCTACCAGAAGCATTGTGCAGGGTTTTACATCATTAAAGAAGACAGCAGGTAGCTTGCTTTCACCCAGATCAACCCTGTCTGGTAGACATACAATGAAATAAGAGGCACATATTTTTGGAACTTTTTCAACTGTTTTTATCTTTGAATTCAATGATTCCAAACTATATACCGCTGTATTTTCTCAAAAAAACCCTCTAATGTTCACATTTTTTGAATAATATCTATTAAAATAACTTGTAGAGGTCTATAATGTATAATACTAGTTTACATAGAAGGGTTTTTTTTTCCCCCGAAGGTCACAAGGCTTAGAAATGTAGTACTATAATTTCTCATACTCTACTACTAATGCCATTTCCAAAGTAGTAATTAATTTATAATGATGTTCTAATTTATCTTAGTTAACTTACGACTATTTGCCGAACTAATTTTAAATGCAAAGTGCATTGCATTTCTATGGAGGTGCTGTTATTTAATAATGGCATCAAGGGTAATGGCACAAATAAATTAGAGTGCGGGAAACTGTTTGAATAAATTAGACTTTTAACCCACAAAGGTATTTCAGCTGTTGCAATGTGTTGTAATATTTATAAACACATTTACATTTTATATTTTTATATATTTAAACCTAAAGCAATGTACAGAATTCTTAGGCATATTAGATACAAAACATTTGTCTTTTATGATTATTTTATGTTGTCTGGATAAATGCCTCAATGGAAAAGATGGAGGGTCACTAAACTACAGCCCACGGGCCAGATGTGGCCAGCTCCTGTAATTCTGCAGACCTGCCAGATGAATGAGAAGTACCGTTGTTCCAATACTCATTCATCATTTGGTCGGTGCCTAGGGAGCCATGGACCGTTCAATAATTAATAAGCTCTTAGCAGTGTCTAATAATGGCTGCTCCCCACAGTTACTGGCATCTGTCCTTATTGGCCTGCTCTATGCCCACTTCCAGCATGCATGACATCACTGTATGCTGTGGTGCAGGAATGTGCAAGCACTCGCTAATGGCTTGCAGGCACAGAGCACAGATTGTGTCTGAGTGAGCCAACTGAACATTGCACTGTCTAGGCTGCTATTTGGAGGTCTAACTGAGGTCTCATTATACAATATTAAAAAACCTTAAAGAATTAAAAAAAACTAAAGATTAAAAACATGTCTTTTACTTGAGTGAAACCAGAACATTTAGACATTACAAATCTTATGGTCTCCTTAACACCTGTGGCAAGCTAACAATCCATTCACTGGTGGCAAATCACCAGCTATATGATCACTAATTCAACCACTTACCTGCTCCCATGGTGTCGTTCCCTGGATGGCAAAATCAGCGAGGTGCTCTGTCTTGCCGCATTTTGACCAACAAGGGGGCAGCAATACAGCCATGTCTCTGGGTCTGATATCCAGGGAACAATGGAATGGGATCAGGTTAATGGTTAATTTAGCAATCATATGTCTGGCAAATTGCTATCAGTAACATAATCTGTGACATGGACCCAGAATACATTAACTTTCAAAAAACATTATAGTAATATGCTGTATCGACTGCACTGATTAAAATATATACAATTGTGACAGTACAGTGTTGATTTATGTGTTTGTGGATGTCCGTATTGTGTCTCTATAAGTATGTTTCTGGCTGTGTCATTATGGTACTGGTTATCTGGCGACATGTTCCTGTTTTTATAGTGTTAATACAATGTAAAAGGCAGTTGCTGGAATGGGGGGAGAATGGAGAGTAAAACCGGTTATACATGCTTCAAATTGATGAACCGGCCAAAATTTGCTGTGTGGGTGCCGCTTTCTGCATCCTTCCGCCTGGCATCTCTTGATCAGCTAATCGAAGGAGATGGTTGGAAAATTCTTGAAACAATGAAACATTTTGTTAAATAAATTACACTTTAGAAATGGCATTAGTAAACTAAAAATAAAATAAACCCTTTTTATATAGAAAAATGGAAAAAAAAATCAAGTAGAGGTATAAATATAGATCAGATTGAGAAATTGGTGAGGCCTTGCAGTCTGTTCGCGGCAACATTCCCATTATGTGGAACTTGTTTTTTACATTCTTTGTAGTTAAGGAACGCCAATGCCGTCCCTTCCGTCTTATATTTTATAAATGTCGCTCTCTTGTCCTTGAAGTGCAACAATTTCAATCAGAATGGGGGAATTTATTAAAAGAGGAGCAGACCGAATCTGTTGTATAGTAACCAATCTGTTTCTCTCTTTAGTTAAGATTTGAAAATGAAAGATAGAAGATGATTGGTTGGCAAAGCAACTGCTCCAGAATTTGTCTGGTTCAATTTTCATAAATTCCCAATATTTTTTTACATACTTCATTATTAGGAAGATGTTACCTGTTAAATTTGCGGTATCCCTCATTAGACAATGTTTTCCTCTGTGGGACCGACAACGCAATTTAGCTGCTTTGCAAATGGCTGTTCCCCCCAGCATTGTTAGTGCCCAGAAGCTAAGACGCTTTCAAGTCCTGTGCATGTTGACTGTTGCTTCTTCTTGCGCAGGCGTTATTATTGTTTGCAGACCAGTGGCAGTGTAGTCTGAGCTGGTGACGTCGCCTGTGTTTATGTTGATCCTTAGAGAAAGCTCTGCAAACTGCTCATTGAGAAAGTGAGTGAGAAGGAGACTTGACAATCACATGCCCACATGTAAACAAGTAAATCAAGTTCTGTAATGCCTTTTTTATATTAACTAAACATTTGACAATGATAAAGCTAGGATGTAGGAACCATTTGTGCTGTTCAGTATATATATATATTGCCTTTCTATCTACTTTGAGGGCCCCATCAAACCAGATGCATTGGGGCTAAGGTGGCCACTTTTTCCATTGTACTCCCAATGCATTTTGCCTTGTTTTAAATTGGCTCAATTCACACCACCATGTAGCAGTGGTGTGCACTGAAAAAAGTACACTGTGCAGCACTTGTTTTCATAGCACCAGTGGGGAGACATGATACAACCAAATCGCATTATGCTGTTGCTGATAGAACGTAATGAAATGTCACTCGTGTAAAAAAAAAAGTAAACAGTGTGATACATTGCCATCAGTGCAGCAGCACTGTTACCTGTCAGCATACACTGGCACCCATGTGTTCATTGCAGCTTGTTGGTGTGAACAGACACTAAAGGGCCCCTTCACATCTGACTGACTTGTTGTGGTGGTTTACGGTAATGGACCAATATCTGGACCTCACAATGCACCAGTGGTCTGTTGACACCTTCTGTAGTTGTTGGGGTGCCATTGTAAATGACAGAGCATTAATACAACGCAATAGTGTGAAGCCAGGCTCAATTGATTATTTAATGAAATCCTAAACAAAAATCTACCCTATTTTCTTCCTGTAGAGACTAATAATCATATATCACCTAGTGGGGGAGATCAAATGATTGCCAGGTTGCTGTAAGCAAAGCTAGTAGAATCTTGTCCTGCATCAAGAAGGGAATGTTTTGCAGGGATAGGTCTATAATTTTGCCACTTTACACATCAATGGTTCGGCCTCACCTGGAGTATGCGGTGCAGTTTTGGGCACGGGTCCACAAAAAGAATGTCCTTGAACTGGAGAAAGTCCAGCGGAGGGCAACCAAACTCATAAAGGGGATGGAAGACCAGAGCTATGAGACACGGCTACTAAATTTAAACATGTTTACGTTGGAAGTAAGGAGATTAAGGGGGACATGATTTTCATGTACAAAATGTTCCATAGTCATACCAACATTAGCAACAAACTCTTTGAGATTAATTATGTAACAAAGACTAGAGGACACCACCTAACACTGGTAGAAAAAAAATTTGAACACAAGGGGCGAAGGGGGTTCTTCTCAGTTCGCGCGGTTAAGGTCTGGAACTCACTGCCTTAAGCGGTAATTTCCGCAATTAATCTGGAATCATTCAAGAGGCTTTTGGACGACTTCCTGAGAGACCTAAATGTACAAGGGTACAGGTACTCTTAAGAATGAGAACACTCATGGACCTATACACACACACACAACAGGTTGGACTTGATGGACTTATGTCTTTATTCAACCTCAAATACTATGTTACTATGTTACACAAGAATCCTTGCCTGGTGTGGCCCTGGGGTGGAGTACTGACTTTTGGTTGTATGTCAATGCTTGTGCATGACTAAGTCTAGTGTTAACTGGCGAGAGCTATGAGACAGCTTTGCTTGTACTTTGGTGATGAACATTGCAGTGGTAGGACATAATTTGGCATTCCTTGGAGAAGCAGTAGCAAAATAAATGTGCACAGTGTTCCCTGTGATTTTTTGTTGTTGTTTGTATCTTTCCATTTCACTGTATATTACGTAAACCCTTGTAGAGAATAAATAATTCTCATCAATAAGATCCTCATCTTCATTCATCATACACCATGCATCAGTCATGGTTTATTTCCAAGGAGACATCTGCCATTCAAGTTACATTATGAACTAGTGTATAGTTTATTGATAAGAAGAGTATTATAGTAGAATTATGTATACGCTAATCTTATAAATGATATATTTTTGTAGATATCACTGAGTTAATATTTTGTTAATGAATGTCTTCCACAGACCTAATTCATTTGAAATGCTGGCACAGGATGGAGTAGGCTCGGGGACTCTCCAATTTCAATCAGCACATGACAGTGCAGACTGGCTACGAGCAATATCAACTAACATTGGCGATCTAATATTACAACATGTAAGTTCAGTTTACATCTCTAGTCTAATTAATATGTAAAATTTTATTTTTAAGCATGAATCTGAAGAAATATCTAAAGATAACCAATTAACCCTATTTTGACTGTTCTTGCCACTGTCAAGAAGCTGGTTTCCCATCCAGAATCAAATAACATCCTAAACTTTGTGCCTGGGCCATCTCCCAGGGTTAGTGCTGCTTTTCAAGGCCTGACAGAAGGAGGCTATAGAGACAGATTCAGATACATACTCCATATAATAGTCCAGATACAGTTTTTTCAATGTAGGATTGAGGGGACAGTATAGAAATAGTCAACACATTTCGGGGCTGCCAAATCAGCTGCTGAAGAGCTCTATGCATTCTCACACATTAGATAAACCCTGCTGAAAGGGGTGTTTGAAAAAGGCCCTGAAACACATTGGCTATTTCTATACTGTCCCCTTAATCCTACATTGAATAAAGATGTATCTGGTGTGACAGTTTTTTTTTTTCTTCACTCCAACTTTCTTTCCCTCACCTCTTCAAACAGATTGCCTTTCTTAGCAGCCCTGCAGATCAGCTCTCTGAATCCACATGCTAGGTTTACCTCCAGGACACTGGGTTATGTTCACCCGTACAAAACGCCCTCTCATCTCACTTCATTGACCCTTCTGCTTCTCCTGACTTCAGGGGATATCTCTCTCAATCCTGGCCCTCTCTTTTCTAATACTCACCCTCCTAACCAGCACTGCCTTTCCTCTGGCAGCAGCTGCAATCCACACAACCTGATTTCTATTCCCCTGCTTCCTAAAACCAGGCCCTCCTTCTCTTGTGCCCTCTGGAATGCCCACTCTGTCTGTAACAAACTCACCGCTGTCCATGATCTTTTCATCTCCAATTCCTTTAACATGCTTGCTGTCACTGAAACTTGGCTTCAGGAATCCGACTCTGCCTCCCCTGCTGCCCTCTCCTATGGTGGCCTCCACTGGACACACTCACCCAGACCCAATGGACGGAAAGGAGGTGGCGTGGATATCCTCCTATCCCCGCAACGCACTTTTCAAATTCTGCCTTCACCTCCCTCTCTATCCCTCTCCTCTTTTGAAACCCACTATATTCGCCTATTCTCTCCAATTTCTTTGAGGATTGCTGTTATATACCGGCCACCCGGACCAGTATCTCCATTTCTAGATGACTTCTCTGCCTGGCTACCCTACTTTCTCTCCTCAGAAATACCCACTATCATTCTTTTTTGACTTTAACATTGCTACTAACATTAACTAACCTCTTCTTTTGATCTAATTCAATGGACACAGACTCCTACTCACTCTGATGGTGACATGCTTGATCTTGTTTTCTCCCACCTATGCACTCCTTGCAACCTCTCCAACAACCCTTCCCACTCTCAGACCACAACCTGGTCAGTTTCACAATCACACTGTCCCCAACACTGACTCCCCCTACAAGGTACACTGTCACCCAGAGAAACCTCCACCACCTCGACCCTTCTCTTCTCCACTCTGCTACTCACTCCCTCTTTGACAAAATCTCACCCCTGTCCTGCCCTGACCTGGCTACTTCTGTTTTTAACAACTCACTCTCATCCTCCCTAGACACCTTGACTCCCCTCATTACATGCAGACTTAGACCACGTCTGCTACAACCGTGGCAAACTGAAGTTACCAGACATCAAAAAAGACAAAGCCGCACTCTAGAGCGACTGTGTCGGAAAACTAGGTCTCTGCAAGACTGCCCTGATAAAATATAACTCCTCCCTCCGTGCTGCCAAACAAACTTATTTTGTCACTCTCATTAACACACTCTCATCCAGACCTCGTCAACTCTTTTCTACCTTCAAGTCTCTACTATGTCCTCCACCACCACCACCCACTAACTCACTCACTGCCCAGGACATTGCCATTCACTCCAAAAACAAAATAGATACAAATCGAGATCAGATCGCCACTGTCCAATCAACTGCCCCTTTTATTATAGTACCTTATCCTCCATCACACTTGTTACTTTCCTCTTTTTACCCTGTCACCACAGATGAGGTTACTAAGCTTCTCTCTATCATTGACCTCCTGCTTTCCAGCTCCCTTGTCCACTCCTCCCATACTCGCCTCCAGGACCTCTCTAGAGTCTCTCCCATCCTCTATAACTCTTTACCCCAATCTGCCCATCTATCTACCACCTTGACTGCCTTTAGGCGTTCCCTAAAGACTCATCTCTTCAAGGAAGCCTATCCCACCTCGACCTAACCACTGAACCTTCACATTCTCAAATAATTCATCCCCACACAGCTACCTCCTCATGTATCATTTCCCCCTCCTCTTTCAGATTGTAAGCCCTCAGGGGCAGGGCCCTCCTTACCATCTTGTCTTGAATTGTAATCTCTTCCTTATATTGTAAAGCGCTGTGCAAACTGTTGGCGCTATATAAATACTATTTAATAATAATAATAATATTCGGGGGACTAAGCTCAATGGTAAACGTGCAGGGATCAGTCTCAAAGCCGTTATTTCTTAAAACAGAAACAGTCTTTATTTTTGTAAAGGCAGACATCCAAGGCAATCCAACAAAATAGCTTATCCTCAGCAAATAATAAAAAAAGTTTGCTTATCTTCAGCATAACATAAAACAGAGTCTCACTCACTTAAATCTTGCTTGCATGTATAACACCAGAATACCAGAGCTTTTGGGTAACTTCCCACAGAACAAACAGTTCTCAGCAAAGCTCAGTTGAGTTCAGCAGCTCACACAGCTTTCTCTGCACACATGTGCTACTCCAACTTCTCCACAGGTTCTGTGCAGTTTTCTGTGTTTTCTAGACACTTCCTCCTGCCTGGCTGTTAACACTTTGTTTCCCCTTAATGGGACCACAACTCAAATAGAGGGGACACATACCACCCTGCCAGGACCCATCCCTGGCGCCCTGTACACTGGACATTTAGACAATTAAACATAGTGTAGTGTCAATCAACTATTTGACACTACAAACCAAGAAGATAGTGGAGATCCTCTAGAATGTAAAAGGTGTCTGTCCGGTAGTCATATCACCTATACCGACACATCCTAATTGGCCAGCCACACCAAAAGGACAAACATTGCGGGTCTACATTTTTATTTCACTTCTTTCCAGTAACTCATAAACTGCAAGCAGTTACATGTGTCCAAGCAACCTTGGTACAGCTTTTTAGGGACTAAGAACATCCAGTTGCTGAGTATACAAGAGGAGTGATCCCCCATGGACCTTATGTGACAAATCACTCCACTTTATTTGTGAAAGTGGAGAACTCCATTTAAATAGGGTATGTGTAAAACATGATTGTAATATTCCACTTTTTGGCTGCTTGACAGAAAGGGACTGTGCTAAAGATTCTGCTAGAGACTGTGAAAAGCAGTGATCATTAATCTCTGGCAAAATAATCGTAGCATGTGCACAACGAATATCAAGGACTAGCTGAGAACAGATGGAGCACAGCTAAGATCTCCCAAGTCCACGGACTAGCCTTCAATTTATAGCTTTACAGCTAAGAACTGATTAATATTGCAACTGTGTATAATTGCATTGCACCAATCAAGAGATGCCTGGTAAATGGGGTGCAGAAATCTGTTGTCGGTGACAGACTCTCCTTCTCAAAGGAAGGAAAAAGTGAAAAATAGCAAACTGTTAAATTGCAGTTCTGGCACTTTATTCTTTTAAAGGGGATTGGCAGCTAAAATAATATGTAGAATTTACGTCTGCCTCTTCTTGTTTCTTTCCCCAGGAGCTGTAATTTCCAAATTCAACTGCTGATGCTTTTGCATATACATATCTTATGTGCAGATGTGTTCTCTTTGTTACTAAAGGGGTCAAAATCATCAATGGAATTTTTACTTCGACTGGAAATTCCCTTTAATAGCAGATTGACTGCTGAGACCTATAAAATTCTAAAACAGTTCTGCAGAATGTGGCTTACTTATTGTTTTCAGCGCAATCTGGCATAGTTGTATGAATTTCTTTTTATGTTTAAAAGTACACTGCAGTCAAAATCAAAAAATAATTTTAGAGTGACACTAAACTCAGGAGTTTAATACGAAAAATGCATTCAAGTATCCTTTTAACAAAAATGTAGCTTTTTGTGTATCCCTTTGCTGTAGATCCTCAAATCATCTCTGAATTGGTGCGGACACTGTCCTTCCTTCTGGAGGGTGGCTATTTTTCTTCCCCATGGCCCCTGTGTGTGTTGTAAAGTAGCCACCGCTCCAAGCTTACTCCCATGATGGACTACAATCTTAATATAAATGAGCTAATTAAATGTGAAATTGCAGTCCATCCCAGGAGCAAGCTTAGAGTGGTTGCTACTTTACAACGCACACAGGGACCATGGGGAGCAAAAGTAGCTCCCCTCCAGAAGGAAGGAGTCAGCACCAATTCAGAAATGATTTGAGCATCTACAGCTGAGTGATACACAAATAAGATCCATTTTTGTTAATAGGGTACTTGAATGCAGTTTTAACTAGATTTAACTGCTGAGTTTAGTGTCCCTTTAGAGTGACTTTGTTACTTTAACAATAACAAACACTACTTTTGGGTACTTCCTAGTAGGATCCAATATCCCCCCAACTCCCTCACATTCCTATGGGCCAGTGACTTTGCCCATCATAGTAATGAGCCAAAAGGAAAGCGTGATGGTCAGAACAGAACCAGGAAGTGGGAGGGTTTTCCCCAATTAAAGCAGCTCAGCAGTTGGGGGCACTCAAATCTGCTGCAGGTATTTGCAGGCACCTCCAGAGGGTTTAATTAGTTTACAGCTAGACAAAAAGATCTGTGTGGGTTGGCCAGTTTTTCACAAGTGAACAAAACAGATAATTCCTCAGTGCTTCATTAGTTTGCAAGGACATCTGCTTTTAAACTCATAAAATCTGCTTTTAGACTTATAATAAAAGCAGAGACCTCAGGCACATACAATTGCAAATGTATGTTAACATCACTCTGCTATGCAAGAGTAGATACTGCTTTAAGCTACTGAAGAGCCAAC